AAAAAAGGTGTATTTGTTCGCAATGAGTGTTTCATTTGTGCATTTTGTATCTTAAGAATGCGTTATAAACTCATTTACATGATGGCGTCGTTTGACTACAGTTTAATACCAGAATCAGGAGCCATAATTATGGCTCCTGACCAGAATCCTTCACTTTTTCTTCCTCCCTTTTGCTAATTAGAAAAATTGTTATCTCAAGCCTAATGAAGTTTAAAATTCAAATAAACGAATAAATGAATTCCTTTAGTTGAAGTCAGATGACGACGTTGTGCAAGTGTGCTAATATATCATTTTACAGTTGTCTGCCCATTGACCTGGCCTTTGAATGGAAGCGAGGCTGCAGGTGGCCTTGTTTTGATAAAGACCTCACTGCAGGTGGCCTTGTTTTGATAAAGACCTCACTGCTTTTGTTGTGTAAATCAAGTTGTTCTTATGCTAACTGGATGGCATTTCAATGAGATAAACCGAGAGGTCTGTATCAAAGTAAGGTCACCTCCAGCCTCGTTTGGATTCATAGGCCAGGTAACTAAGCACACAACTTTAAAATGGCCTTTTTACGATAACTGTAGAAATTCTCGCGTGCTCATTGGCTAATTCTTATTGTCAATAAGCGGATAGACACATGAATTTATAATTTATGCGATGCGTCCGCGAGCGAGAGCGGACAATTTGACAATTTGTTATCGTGAAAAACAAATTAACGTCATTTTTTCATGCGTCTGTCTTGTTATTGACAATGAATTTCGTCATAACATTGTCAAAGTAGTCTGCGGATGACGAAATTCATGATCAACAACTGAACAGACCATTGGCGGATCCAGACCTTGAGCTAAGGTGGCGGGCGGTTTGTTTTGTTTGCCCTGCCGGCTTTTCTTCCTTCTGTGATTTTCATTTTTTTCCCCAAAATAAGGGGAGGCCCGAGGCCACTGCAGACGCATGAAAAACTGACGTCAATTTGTTAAATTATGTAAGTTTAACTAAGTACAGTACTGTATACATGTATGCAGGCGATCACTTATCCGTATTGTTTTCTAAATTTATCATGTCTTAGCTTGGAGTTCGTGGTATTCTCCCCTAGAAACTGTGCTAAAACAGTTCTTCGTCTCAGGCAGTGAATCTAGGGGAATAAATGTTAATGACTAGAAACGCCTGGTGAACGCTTTTGTAATCACTGATAGATTCATTAGATTGAAGTGTCACACTAGTCTCATTTCCATGCTGACTGCCGTTCTAAGGACGAATTACAGCACATACATACAGAACATAGAGGCACATCTTATGAATAGCACCAAAAAACCATACCGTATCCCTAGTAGCAAGCCACCTTAACTTGTGAAATTCTTAGTAGACAATCGCCAAACTGCTTATCATTTGACCTGCCTGATGTTTATCGTACAGCTTTATACTACAGCTATTTGCGAACGTAGTTTCTCACTTTATGCCCTGGAACTATTCACCTAAAGAAATCAAATCCTCAGAAACATCTCAAGCCGACTAAAGACATTCCTTTTTAAAAAGGCCGGTATAAATTTGCTATTTCATATTATCTTTTATGAGGTATTTTTTTTGTGTTGCCATAAAAAAATATATATATTTTTCAATGTAAGCAAGTTGTGAAATGAGAACTTTGGTACTAGAATTGTAACATACGTGACAAGACACAGTCTTGCCTAACTCCTAAAGCCACGGTAGACCAATGGGTAGGTGTCTCTGATCACCGCCGTGGAAACTACTGTGCTGCAAGGGTAGGTATAATAAAGTGGTTGGGATGTGCTGCACTTAAGTAATCACGACCGCTCTTTGGTTGTGATTACATTTGTGGTTATTGAAAAACCTAAAGAGGCCTCTAGGGGCCTCTATATTTTGGATTTTATTGAGATGTTCTACCTCTTACGGCCAACTTGGCTTGTTTTATCTGGTTGGATGCTTGCTTGATCATTGCCAGAAAGTTCTGAAGTGACTTTGTGGGGCCCTCTGCTATTCTCACTTTAGGCGGTTGTAGTCACAGAATTTGTTTTTCGTTTAGACTGAATTTTGCCTTAATGGAACGCTATTTTGTTGTAGACCGCTTGCTAGGTTTGTATCGTGGGCACCCTTTGTTAAACAATCCTGGTCCAAACTTACGACTCTTGTGTACTTTGACAAGTTTTGCAATGAAATGGAAATAAAACTTTTGTTTGAGATAAACTTGGAAGCTTGAAAGGGAATGAAAAAGGAAACATGTGGCCCGTCATCAATGCCTTTCCTGTTAACATACAAATGACGTCAGGACAGTACAGTTCCTTCCAACTGCTGAATGCTGATTGGTTCATTCGAATTTAAGTGGCACAGGCCGTATGTAAGGTTAGTAGATAGGAATGAAAAACGTACAGAATAAAATTGCATAAAAATTTTATGCTATACGACTTTAACTAAGACAATAAACAGCTGACAAAGAGATTTACAACCATCTAATAGTTAACAAATAAAGAAGCCTCGACTGTGCCCTGTTCTGTTGTAAAGCACGCAGGAAGCGGTAGAGCACGAAAGAAGTGAAACACGAGATGTAGTTGAGTGTTTCTCCCTACTACTTCAGTGCTCTACCGCTTCCTAAGTGCTTTACAACAGAACAGAGCTCAGTCGAGGCTTCTTCATTTGTTTTATGATAAAGAATCCATTAATTTCCTCACGCATTCGTCTGAATTTTCAAACCAAACTTTATTTTCCAGACGAGTAAAATTGGCGTCAGCGTGCATCTGTTCTCTGATAAAACACGCTAACATAAGCCAATCACAATCCTTGTTAGAATTGTCCAAATAATTTGATTGGCTAATGAGACAAGAGCTGTCAATCACAAACTGAACTTCACCCAGTTAACCTCTCGGTTTCGAGTGGCTTTCGAGAGAAGAACGATGCCTTCAAAGTTCGCTTTTTGGTTTAATTTTTTAAATAAGGATCTAAAGGTTTCTAGTTCAGAGGAATCTGGCCGCGTTGTGGCTCATGAAAACATGCACTTTTCCAATGGAAATTACGAAACAAAGAACTCAAAGCTTGCGGATGAAAATGCGAAATGCTGAGTTCTTTTTGAAAGGAGCTACAGTTATTTACGGCTTGCAGCCGCTGGTAGCCGCTTGCAGCAAGATTGCCCGAGTTAGGGTCAAACTTGGAAAGACTAGACTGTCACCACTGGTTCTACTCCGAGAACTGGAGAGAAATCACAGCAAGCTTTCAACTGATCACTCGTCGGGTGAACGTTGATACGAAATTGTTGAGGTTCACTTCGCTGAGATGACCGGATATCACTAGTAAGCAAACAAGCGTTACTACACTGCATGTAAGTGTTGTTTGAGCATTTTTACAAAAATAAAGCCGTCATCATAAACAGAGACAGTTCAATATTAGTGTTTTCTGTCGTTGTTTTACTTCGTAAGTAAAATTTCTGCTTATAATGTCTTTTATCGAAGCATTTGCTAGGTTGAGAATTTGTTTATTTCGCTTCCTGTTTTGTCGGAATCTAGCAAAACTTGCATCTGCTGCAGACAAATAGCTCGTTTCCACTGTGTTTGTCTGAGTCACAGGGGATGTTTAAATTTGCAAATTTCCGAAGCAAAAATTTGAAAGCCAGCTTACCATCATCAACCCGTGCATCTGTTCTCTGATAAAGCACGCTGTTTCAGCCAATCAGAGCGCGCGTTATATGGAAACTTTATTATAAAATAGGATAACCCTATTTTTCTGCCAGATCAATCAATTACTGCTGTTAATAATGTCCGCCACACGTATCTCCTTACTTATCTCTTTACGTCTCTAAACGCATACATGTACTAATGTTTTCGTCCATAGGAGTCTGGCGATAGTTTACGTCTGACCACACGTAAACGATTAATTGATTCGTTATGTGGTTGAACTGGTTGGCGATGAAAAGGAGGCTTCTAATTGGTTCCCTTAGCGGTCCGAGTTATTTCATTTAGTAATTTGCAATACGCACCGCTAGGATAGGCCGCTCACGAATTATTTTCGGCAAATAATAAACAGTTTTTTGTTAGTAGAGATCTTTTTACCTTCACGTTTGGAGGACAATTTCAGTCAAATGTTCACTAAAACGACGAGAGAAATGTAAATAAAACCTTACCTTTCACGAACGCGTTTACCGAGATCAGCAGATTAAAAAGAACCATTATAATAGCGGAGATTCAGCGGAGCAGCACGGGCAAGAAATTCTGGTTAAACCATCAATTATTATTATAAGCCGAGAAAATTTGGTTATGACGTTATCGTGCGAGTGAGCGTCCGTCCCTCCGTACAAACTGGGAAAGGGGAGTCTCATGGTAACTCTATTGTTATGTCAACTAACGATAGCAGAGTTGATATTAGGTTTTCAAGACAGGGTTTAACAGAAGCAGAACGTGAAAGAGAACGGCAGACAGCAAGAATTGACAGGCGAAGAAGTAGCTAAGAAGATCGCGAAAGAGAGCGAACCAGAGCTAGAGGAAGGAGGCGAAACAGTACTGAACAATGTCATGAAGTAAAGCGAGCGAGGGCTAGAGAAAGGAGGCGGAACTTGCCAGGAAAAGAGAATGGGGGCAAAATGTAAGCGAGGAACGCCGAGAAGTGGAGCGAGCCAGGAATAAAGATTGGCGGCGAAAAGATTTGTTCAGTTCAGTCTTTACAACTTTTGCTGGAAGTTTCTACCTGAAAGATTCACACTGAAGTGAATTGCCAACTTGTGGTAAGCGACTCTTTGTTGTGGATACTTTTGTTGCGTTTTCTGTAAATATTTTAGAGAGGTCAAGCAATGATTACAGCGACAACGCCTAGTTAAAAAAGCTCTATTTTGACTTCGAATTTCGCAGTTATCTAGATCTGTTCAGTGCGCCTATATATTGGTCTCAGAACTTGGTCAAGCTGAATATGTAACGCCAGCGTTTAATTCCAAATGAACATCTGAAAAATGATCCGTCTCCGTTTTTGTTCTCCAAAATACGCAGAATTTAGTTAATTCACTTGTTTTTGTGCAGAGGACAGCAAAGAAATGAACAAAGATTTATAACGCACGTGCACATTCAGTGTTCTACTCATGAAAACTTTTGTTTGGTAGCTTTCTCGTTGCCGTCGCCGTTTGCTTAAACTCTCTGTTGTCAACCCAGGACGCCTATGTACGGCACTGGCATTAAGCATGCGTAAATTACTTGACGTAGCATCAGCGTGTACAAACGTATCCGTTTATGAAGTTCTCACGAGAATTCGTGATCGGAGATTTTCCCGTTTACGAACTTATCCATTTTGCAGCGCGTTTACGAAAATATGCGTACATATACGCATTTATGTCGTTTTTTTCCGCCTGGACGAAAGACGTAAACGTATAAAAAGATATCCGTTTACAGACGTAAACGTGCACTTGTGTCTGGGGATCTTTGGAAAAACTAGAATACAGTATTTGAACAGTCAGTCTCGAGACCTAACTACGATTAAAGGTATTTCTAAAGCTGTTTGAAGTAGATGTGGAAACTTTTTATCATAACATCACAAGACTAAGATCGTTAAAAACTGCAACAAAAATAATTTAATAGACGTTTTTTAACCAAAGTTTTAAATTAACAGGACTGTTGGAAGTGCCTACTAAATGATTGATTTTCTACATAAGAGCAGATTGTTGGGATAAATGTCATCAGCAAAACATTATAATGTGTCTGTATTTGAAGAATGTCTCTGACGCCATGTAACACAAGAGGGTCCCGTAAGTGACAAATCGGTCTTTCGTTCAATCCTGTCTCCTTCCTCTCGCAAAAGACAAACGGCAAGATTCTAGTGTCATGAACTGGTTTGATGCCAATATGTCTCATGTAAAGTCCAACACAAGCATCTTCAACTGGAATCATAGGAACCTCCCGAGATGCTGTTAGAAGTCTTGGTAAAAGGGTTGCGCTGAAGACATACCCTCCTCCCGAGGCATAAGGCGGATACGTATGTGTATTTATATCCATGAAAGATACATAATAACGATGCTTTTTGTTTCTCACAACTTGCATGTCTCTTTGTATGTTACCAGCATATAGTGGCTTGGATCCATTGGTCTCGTGATACTCCTGTAGCCACTGAACAAGTGATAGAACATTGACGTAGCAATCTTCGTCAGTTTTGAGGACATATTTGGGTTGACAATGTCGCCACGACCACTGAAATCCCAATAATGTCTTGAGAGACAGATTACGGTAGGAGTCGAGGAAGCTTCCTATGACAATGTCTTTGTGAATTTGGGCCTCCTGTCTTATGAGATTGTTTAGCTTGGAATTGTTAGTTTGACCAACAAGAAACACAGTTTTCCATGATCTGAGAAATTTAAAAAAAATGGAAACAGTAAATACATCAACACCGGATGGTCAAAATTATTTTCAAGCCAAGCGAAAGTTCACGAAAATGCTTAACTTGAAGCCATTTCAAAAGACTGACCAGTTCCCTGAGCTGTGTCTATTGTCATTAAACGGTCACTGTGTAGTCAATCAGATGGCGCATTAGTCTGATTGGCTGTTAGTAGGCTCTGTTACGGTAATAAGGATTATCAGCATGATTTATTTAGGGATTTATCCAGTGACAATAAGAAAGATCAGTAATTATAGGCTTGAAGGACGCGCCATTGCAATGGAAAGCGGTTAGTTCACCCCGCTGATGCGTTTAAAACTGGTACATAACATGGAAAGGAGTGGGTGGGTGGTGTAGGAGTACATATAAGGGGATTCAGTGTGGTTCGTAGGAGGATATTCTTCTTTCCAAGAAGCCGGATGAATTAGAATTCTTTAAAAACTCATTTCATCATTTTAAATAACACCGGCCCACGTGCACGTCCAAAGATAATGCAAACTTTTTGGGAGTATACTGTGCTATGTCTGATTTCAGACCAGCCTTAACAACACATGCTATCATAACGTTGGTGACTTTCTTCATTAGTAAGGTTAATTGGCGAGTATGGCGCGACGATGTTATAATAACTTTAAACTGATGATAGGAGGTAGTCGTGTACTAGTTCGCAAGTAATTGACATACTGCATAAAGAAATAGAAATTAGGTGGTTACCTCTCCGGACTTGTCCAGCTTCCTTGATTGATTGGATTATCTTCTCGACCCCAAGACAATCTTATAGACTCCCTGTCCATGAAGTTAATAGGTCTTGAATGAACCATAATTAACAGAAAAGGAGCCGGAAGGCAGCGCGGCATAGAAAAGTGATTGACAACTTTCTGTTCTTGGTGATGTTCTCCTTGCAGGTTATCAAGTTCGTATTGCCTAGCGATAGTCTCTGAAGAAGCCATGTATCTCTGCACGAGGTCTTTCAAGTCTAAATTCAATACCTCCAAGTAGCTTAAACTCGGTCCCGCACTCTTAACATCCGAATCAACTTGAATACTTGCGATTTGTCTTCGAAGTACACTCGACGAGGAGCGCTGTAACGAATAGAGGTCTGGCTTTCCTTTTATGTCGGCAAGGAACATCAGGTATGCAAGATTTAGGATTCCCGTAAGAGATGCTAACATCAATAGATGCCTAATTGTGCAGTACTTGTTCATCTTGTGTCCCACGTTGATGAAATTGTCTGTGAACGAAAAGAGAGAATAATTTAGTACTAACAGCGGAGCTCGGTTGAACCGTAAGAAGGTTTTTTTTGACGAAACTCACTGAATGTGAGCCGGTATTAGTTAGCGAATAGCGCTAGAATTTCAGTACGTACTCATTTGGAAATTCCCGAGGGAGCTTCTCTGCTTCAGCATTATACATTTCCTAAAACCTCTTAATATTTGCAATAATTGGTGTTAATGTTCCCCGGCAGCAAACAAGGATTTCAACATTTATGTTGGAAGGTCCATGATCATGCACAATCTTTCGTTTTTCGTTCATACATTATGCAAGAATTACGTAACTGAAACGTTTCCATTGGTAAGTTCCTCAGTCAGTAGTATGCAGCTATTGTGTTTTGTGCACGGTCAAGGCCAAAAAGGAGAAAAAAAAAAAAACATACAACAAAGAACTTTGTCGGGTTTCATAACCATTCCCCTCTATTAACTAGGTCTCAAGAGTGCAAAAAAGAGGGTTAAAAAGAGGAATTTTTATTCCTTAAATCTTGACTTACGATGCCGTTATGTTTGCGTATTAAATAACACTACGTATTTGCTCTAATAATGGCCGTGTCTTAATTAGCCGGCCTTGGGATAATTCCTCTCCCCTTCCTCGAATAATTGCCCCTTTTTGGTGCGAAAATAGACTAATCGCTTCGGCTATTTTGCAAAGAAATACGGTTATTCGGTGCATTCCCCAGGGAACTTCTATGAATCGGTTCATCTCGGGTACAATACATTCCGTACATGTTTCATGCACTCAACATGACAGTCGGCCACTTAACGTGAAGAACCAACAATCGGAGAAAATCAAATAGCTGCCCGGTGAAAAGACCTCCTTGTTTTCAATTGACTTAGATAAAAGCAGTGGCCGAAAATAAAACATTTTGGGCATCGTTCGCAGCGTGTTTCCCTGCGTTAAATCTCGATAGATTCCTTTTGATGTTCGGTACAACTTTACCTTGAAGATATCTTGAAATCGACGGAAGGAAAGTTGATTAAACGGAAAGCCATTTTCTAGTCATGGAAGAACTAGAGGGGCTAGAGTTGAACAGGCAGACGACATGCAAAAAAATTGCGATTGAATGAAGTCACATGAATGCTGTCGAAATAAATCGGCTTAAAATATTATAGTTTTTAAGTTCGCCGTTAACACGAAGAACATGACATTTCACGATCAGGTTTACCATAGAAAGTCATCTACATCGGAGATTGTTGAGTTCATTGGCCCATTCAAAAACTTCACATGGACCCAACAGGCTTAATCATATCCTAGAAGAATTTCAGACATAAAACCCGGCTTCATTTTGATTTCCTGACATAAAAACGTATTAAACTCAAACCAGTTAGCCGCGAGGTGTTTGTAAGAAATCGATACTTACATATTAATTGTGAGCAATTCTGGCTACAGAATAGAATTTCTGAATTTGTTAAATATTAAGGTAAAAACCTACTGTTGCTGCCAGATAACTGAAGCGGCAATCATCAATCTTGTGTTCACTTGGCTCGCTGCACGGACGACTGGCAATTAAGGTCAGGTCACAATCACAATCGAGTTTGGGTAAAATCTTTGGGATTCACAAATAATCTTTCCCATCAGCAAAAGAATGAAAGGAAATGGCGTTGTCGGAAGCTGTCCGGAAGAACACAATGTAAAGCAATGTTCTTGACGGCGAGACATGGAATTATGACAAAGATGGCCAATTACCAAACGACTCAAGAACGTCAATGTTGTGGTTTTGTACACGTTATTCCGTAGAACAAGAGACAAACTTAAACATTTTACCGAAGAACTGGAAGATTGTTTTACAATCCGGACAATTTTTTTTTACTTTATCTTAATTAAAGAAAGAAAGAAAAAAAAAGCCAATTGCCCGGAGCATTGACGACCATTATCTTCAAGCAGGAGAGAAACGAACAGTTTTTGTTTCAAGGTTATTCCTTTCTTGAACTAAAATAATGCTAGTCGCCTTTTGTTTCCCTGCCTGATTAAACCATAAAATGAGGAAATGGAAAAATGATCGAGCATAGCAGCCTTATTTTGGACAAGCTGCTGCCTCTTTCAATAGAAAAACACTTGCCTTCTGGTTATTATTCAAGAAATCGTGAATTTCTATCGCAAAAATGTTGGTTATGTGGACGTGCAATTACGCTTTGATTGACAAGAGGCCTCGATCTTTCATATTTTCGTTTAGATTCTATTACTTCAAGGAAGGTTAAAAAAAAATACGGCGTCTGGTCTGACAATTTCCTGTTTACTGCAATTGACTTAAAGCGGCATAGCATGATAAGAAGCTTGTATTAGTTCAACGAGAAAACTGATTAAAATGGTTATAAGTTTCGTTGTTCCTACTTTTGAGATAGTACCCGTTACCGCCTAAACTGGTCGCTTATTGTCCTGATCCCAAACTTTTTTAAGCTGCTATTTTTCTTAAAACTCCTAAAGTTTCCATCCGTTGCGCCTTGCGACTAAAAATGGAGGCTTGACGCTTCCCGTTTTTGATGACTAAGCAGGTTGGAATTTGGGTCACAAGGCAGGTTATATGTTTGGGTTCAAATAAAATACTTATTATGTTTCTCAACCAAATTAAAGACATACTAAAATGCTCAAGAGAAATCTACCCACGCTTATCACATATCTTTTCCTGAGATAAACTGGGTTAAATTACTGCTTCGAAGTTCTCTTCTTTTTAAAATAGATTGGAATGTTCCTGCACGAAACACCCAGGGCCGCTTTTAGTGCGCTCGAGAAAACAAATTGGATCATTTTAAAACTGTTTTTTTTTCCAGTATTTTAAAAGCCCCTTGGATATTAGACCCTGCAGTAATCCCATAGCAGGTTGGTTGATTGGAAATTCCAGTTTGAGAGTTCAAATTCAAGAGTTAGGTCACGAAATATAGAACGCTGGAATTTTGGACTTTGGAATGCTGGAACACTTAGGGAAAAACACGTCTTTCATTCACTTTCCTTTTATTTTCTTACTGCAGCTTCACGTCCTTCAACCCGAGAATGTTACCTAATTTCCTCCTGCCGTCACTCTAATTTAATGCTCTGGTTTGCCAAAAGGCTTTAAGTCACACCATATCGTTCAATAGAACTTCAAGAATCATCGATAAGGGGGGGAGGGAGAATTGCCAAGTACATTATCAGTAGCGTTAGTTTAGCAAAAATATTTTGCAATCATATGTGCATGCTTTTTACATCTTCTCTTGTGTACACGTCTCAGCTATTTTTCTAGTCGGTTGTATCTGCTACTAAAATTATCGACTACAACTTTTTAAATAAGTTTTTCTTTCTAAAGCCTCTTCATCATTTCATTGTCAATCAAACCCACATGCGCATTACGAGACTACAATATCACAATGGGGTCGTCTTCTCACTCTAATCTTGTCAAGCCCTTCTTATTTGTTCTTGTTATCCTAGTACCTCAATAATTGCAAGGGAAGTCACATGACAGTGATGAGCTGCACAGCGGATATTGCGTCCGAGATACATTTGTCTCAAAAGTGAGCCACCGCGTCTAGAATAGATATCTCAGTTCTGTGTTTATTATCGTTGGCGCAGATCTGGGTCATTTTATCTCGATGTGCAAACAAATTTACCCAGCAAAAAGAAAATTCTAAAGTCTTGTGACATTCTAAAATTTAAAGTACTCCGTTTTATCCTCCTAGCCTTATTCAAAAGGAACAAAAGGTGCCAGACTCTTAATCTAAACGTAAGAGGAACCAGGGCGACTGCATCGAACAACTTTTACTCGTGAGAGTTTTTTTTATGATTTTTCCTGGTTACTTTTGAAGCCCATTTGGGTTGGCAAACCAACTTAGGTAAACCACTTAGCGGGCCATGAATTGTTTTGATGCCGCGATAGCTAAAATTTGTAGAAGAACTTAATTTACCCCGACTAGCACAAAAACATGATATTTAACCCCTAGGGCGTTGGATAAGCCTCTGCGTTAGTACCACATGGGGAGTCTGGGATCAGATATGACCGACAGTTATGTTTAGAAAAGTTTTCACGTCCTTAGATTACTGAATGTTTTGACGATACCGTTTAAAATACATTTGAAGTTTCACGCTGTTTTAAATATTTTACATGTAGGTATGAAAATAAAAGTACATATCAAAAGTTACAAAATTAAAGTGTTCCGACTGTGAAACTGAATTGATCGTAAAACCCTGACCGCCATGTTGTTGTACGATGTATACTACATAACTTGTCTCCAGGACACATCATACTGAGACCTGTAATGTTCTTTTAAAAAAATAATCACTAAAGTTACGCTTAAAACTATAATAAGGTGTGAAATGTTTTGATATGATATTATCCATGAAAGCAAATATAGTCTATCATAATAACACCGATGAAGAGACGATCAATGTTCCTGGGAAAGGAATGACAGCGGTGGCCGAAAATAACTCATCCAAAAACTGTACGAATTACCACAAGAATTCCTTAGAATGATCTCAAATCACGGAGAACAGACCTTAAACACGTAAAAAGCACATACCTCACACGCCTATGATGGTCAATGTACTGTGTTACCCGAACGATGAATCTAGACCACTGATAGGACACAGGTACCAGTTGGAATACTGTGAATGTAGTAAGTGGCCGTTTGTAGTAAAAGTACTACGTAGTAAAATGACTGTGGTTTGCTCTTATTCTCGAACTTATCCGCAATGTGATATACTTCTTTACGTACCAAACATCCTTTTGCAGCCTCTCACAGCTAATGTTGGCAAAACATTGCAAAAGAGCAACTGAGCAAGGTCAGATCAAACAAAACCACAGCAGCTGACCAAACAAAGCAAACGAACCGTACGAGGCGGCACGCCTTACAGCAGAAAAATCTGTTTGAGACTTTTCAAAACTTTTTCATTCTTACAATAGTTTTGAAATATAAAGTAAAGAGTTAGCCTTCATTAGCGGAAAAATGGCCACAATTAAAACTAGAAAAAGGAACTTAAAGATTTCATGTGAAATGTCCCGCAACTGAAAAAATTACCATACCAGCTGGCAGCGAATGATCCGTTTATCAACAATATTGTATCTATCCAGTCACAGCTTTGGAACCCTGTGGTTTACTTGTAAACAATCGATTGGAAATTTAGCAGTTAATTAAAAGCATTGGACCCTACAGAAAAATGAATTGGCGGCAACTAAATATGTAAACAATTTCACATTGGTAAAGAAAGGTTTTCGTTTTCCTTTTAAGATAAGTTGGAGCTGTGAAGTCGTTTGAACATTTCTCTCTCATTTTCTATTGGTTGTTCAGATGGTTAGTGGAATGTAAGTCTGTTTCTGTATTTTTGGAAACAACATTGAGACTGGGAGTGGCAGTCTCCGTGGTCGGCAGTTTAGCTGTATACCGCTGGTGACAACATTGAAAGTGGTCACCTGTATGAGAGCTTTTGTCTACCAAATCTAAAAAGAGAGAAGTTACTTCAGAATTTAATAAGAAATAACGTCACCGGAAGCAAGATGCAAGTGAAGCAAATGTTCTCTTTGCTATGCGCACACCGCACATCTGTATGAGAGTCACTTAGTCGATAATGAACTCAGTTCAAGATGATAAAAGTAAACTGCCGCAGTGAATTTTTGAACATTGGCCCTTTGTTGAGACAAAACGGTTGCTGCGATCGAAGGCTCGAAACTTGAAGGTTCGAAAGTCTCGAAACACTCGAAACTGCAATTAAGAAAATAATCTGACGCTTTCTGGCCGTATTATGTAAGCAAGTGTTGAACCTTTTCAGAAACTGTTCAAGGGAATGAAATATCAACGTTTTCTTAACGAAGAGGGAGCCATTATTTTAGAGAAGCCTTCGAAATAATTATAAATCTAAATTGTTTGAAGGGCACCAAAATAGACAACTGTTTTGGTGGGACCATTATTTTGTGATTTTATCTCAGTACCTTCGGCTTACCAGTGTTCTCCCTGAACTATTCGGAGATAAACGGCTTAAAAACAATCTTCTATGCAAGGACGGGCCCATGTTGCGTTACGTTCAACCCACCTGTCTGAAGTTATATTCCACGGCTAGTCAATATGATAAGCCCTCATTTGATATTGAGCAGCGGGATTGACTCTAATGTCTCAATAAAACCATGAACACAATATGATCACTAAGCTAACAGATGTTTACGATGGAAGTTTGACCAAGTTTAGTTGGCGGTTTGGTTCGTAGCTGCCTAGCATCGCGTACAGCTCAAACACCAAGAAAAAAAAAAAAGAAAAAAAAAAAAANGTTTAAAATGCTCTTTTACCTGTTGTACAGAAAACAAGGGAGAACCCTGAGTATGTAATGTTTTTTGTACAAAGTATTCCACATCTGGTTTTGCAGAAAAAAAAAAGAAAAAAAAAAAAAGACATGAATGACGCGAATCAAGATCAGTTGTAAACCTTGGGCTTGTGGCTTGCGTTGTCCTATCAAAGCAATTGATCTGGAGTGTAGATCCGATAAGTTGAAATTTGAGGTTTGTATAAACGTGAAACTTCGGAAAACTTGAGTAAAGAGTGCTAACGAACAGGACACTTACAAAAATAAATGTGAAGGCGAATACTAACCGGCAACCTTAAGTCATGGTAACCATATCTGCAGTAACTTTAACGGGCAACTGCAACGTACTTTGAACCGACTCGCGTAAAAACTGCGATCAATACAGAAAGTTTTCTTTTCTAAAAAACACGTGCCCCAAAAGCAAACGATTTAACGCATCTGGGAAAACCACGTGGCTTACCATGCATCACAGGTGTTCTAATGTCTGAGACACGTGTAGCGTTATCTTCCGTGTTGTGGTTGCCACTCAGTTTACCATGCTTCGCAAAACATCTTTGTTTTACATGCTCTTGATTTAGCCATTGTTTGATCGTGCATTTGGACGCTTTGTGTCATAGGAGTGAGTTTGATTGTTCGCTTAACAAAGGTCTCTCTGCATCATATAGCTCAAGCTCTTACAAGTCTATTAAGCATGCGGTTTCGAAGTGGTAAACAAACTGTGGGAAACAGGAATCGAGCGCGTTTTGAATTCGGACAAATGAAAGAGAAAGTGTACTACAACTGAGCGTAAGATTACGAGTACTAACAAATTTAACCGTTACAATTAATGAACTTTAAACTTCCAGTAACAGCTTCTCAACTACACCAATAGGCTTGTTTTCTTGTCTTTTTCAAAAATACCAACATTTAAATTATGGGCAATGTATTTTTATTCTATTAAAGCACGTGCTTATAAAGCAAACCCATAGAATCCGATTGTGAGCGGGTTCCTTTCCGTGATGCTTAACAGGTCTTAACACGCCGGGATTTAAGATTATCGTTGTAAATTCAGTATCATGTAGCGCCGTAATTAGGTATCACCAGTTGTGTCGCCGTTCCGAGAACTTTATACAAATATGAACGATAAATCACGTTGCTTTCGAATAAGTAACTGCATATTAACTTGAAGTTGTCATCCTAATTTATTAACTGATCGGTGGTCTTTCTACATTTAATACAGTATTTATGGATCAAATAAGCGGAGGAACGCAAAGGACTTTGATTACGTTATAGTGGAATACTTCAAGTTAAAAACATACCTGATAACACGGCAGCGCCCTTCATCTGGTTTGATCCGGTGAAGAGAGAAATTAAGGTTTTTGTTAAAACTCGTACGCAGCTCGACTGATGTCCACTCACGTGGAACAACAACTCGGTTATCTGTTATAGTGATCGAGGAGCACCGCTCCAAATAGGGCCATCGATGCTAATTAAAACGTGCTGGTCGAATTGTGAAGTCGTCAGACCTAACGCAGTTTCTGTCCGTTCACACCGGGTTTAAGAGCTCGTTGATCTCGCAATCAATTTCAGGAGCAAGATCGTGTTGCATATATACTCAGGAATTCAAAGTGAGAAAAAAATTAGTATCGTCTAATCGGACCTGCCAAAACATGCCATTTATTTTGAAAACAAGCAAACAGGTAATAGGCTTTTAGGAAATGCCTTGAGACCATGGAGAACAAAGAAGGCTCCGTATTTGCGATAAATATACGCCGCAAATTACCATTACAAAACGATATGACATTTGTCATGACAGCCGATATTCGACACAAAGTCGGCAAATGCTGATAAACAAGCGGTCTTCTATCGCAAACTAGCATCTTAATCAGTCACTCACAAACTAGCTCTTAAACAGCAATTTGTGTCCCAAAATAGACTATTCGAAGCGTCGGAATAAGTCGTCCAAGGGCATCAATTTTACGAACAACAATATCGCACTCGAATATCCATCCATGTTGGCTCTTAACAGGTTCGCGTGATCAATATTTTGCCCCTAACAATGTGGACAATATGGCAACTAAACATTGATCAGAAGCACTTGAAAATGGGTCAAAGTATTTGTCAACAGCGGAATTCAAAACATTTTACCACGACCTTAGGGAATGTGGCCACTCTTATAAGCATTGAAATCTCGCTTAACTTTGTTTGTGTATGTGGTTATGTTCTAGACTGTTTGAAATAACTTTAATTCCTTGCCATCATGCTTTTGACAAGAAATCTGCAAAGCGTTGTGTGTATGTGTGTTTAGAAAGGCCAGCCCTAGAGACTTCGAGATTATTAACTGCCTCCAGATACCTTGCATAACTGTATTTTAACAAGTAAATGGGTATTCAGAAACTTTCAGTGTCAGAATATATATATATATATTATATATTTTTTTTAACCAAGCGGCATTCCACGAAGATGCGTTGGCAGTGACGGAATAACCTGCCCGGACGCGTGCGTAAGAGAGTTAAGTCCATTAATTAAAACAAAGTGGGGTTCCAATTGATGTTAAAAGATTACTTGCTAAAGCCGTAGAAAACAAAGTTGCGGTTTGCTTTTTTTAACAAAATATAATTAACTACTACAGGAACGAGTAAACAAAATGTATTCAAACAATATTCCGAAAAATAAGCTAGAGTAATAATTAGTTGCAAGTTTTTCAATTCTGGCATTAATAACCATTTTGCCAAACTATCACGCACTGTTAAGTTGCAGATTTCACAATTCAAACATCGATCAAAAAAAAAAAAAAAATAAAACAATATAACACAGGGAACGAAAAATAATTTCGCTAATCACCGTGTGAACCAATTCAATCATCACATTCTGTAAGTCAATAAACAGAAAATACTGAATTGACCATTTTCAAATTCTAGGGAGGGGAACTATCTAGACCTTCTTTGTAAGTTAAGATCTCAAAAAAAGGAATCGGCGCTAATTGTACTCGGCTTATGATTTATGCGTAATTCAAAAAAAAAAAATCCACTGTAAACTGTTTCAAGTGTATTTAAATAACCAATGCAGTGAAAACTTGCGCTAGATTAATGTCTGAGCCGTTAATCTGACATATCTTTCATGGACATTCTACTTTCAAATCATTTCAGGACCCCCTTTCAGTTGGATTATTGTTCTCACCAAATAGGCTACAACATCAAACAGTTGTGCCACAACCCTCTCTGGGAGCCATCGGCAAAATTCGTTAGACCAGGAACTCACTTGTTGAAAATTGAAAGTTCTTCTGGAGTTTGGTAGTGCAATAAGTGATGAATTGTTCAAAAGAATTATAGACTAATGTCTGATCCTTTAATCTATTATTTTCAAATGGACATTCTGCCGTTCCCTGATAAATAATCATTTCTCTAGTTATTTCCTTCCATTCCATTTTTACTCCTTCCATTCCTTGCCCAGAATGGGAACAACTCGATATAGAAAACTCGATCGATCACGTTTAATAAATTGGCTTGATTAACTTTCTGTTTCGAACTCGTGGTGGAAGTGAAGAGACTGAAGGTTAGGTGTTGACAGAGGATGTGGAAGAGCTTTATGTTGATAGCAAAAGTCAAACTATGACGGTAGAAAAAGAACAAACTATTCATGACTAAACATGTTGCTATATCTATACTATCAATTAAGCAATTCGACAACTTACAACTTTGGTCGGTTCTTCTCCTGAAATGTTTGTGTTCTTCGCAATCTTGTTAGGTTAACTCCGTGTCGCACACAATTATCTCGTGTTTAACACGCTCAAGGGCGTATTTAAGAATCCCGTATCCTCTTGGGACTAGTTCCAGTCCTCTCACAAAATGATTTATGAAAAGGGCAAATCACTTTCTTTACTGAATCAACTGTAAGCAGATACTCTCCGACCGACTACAAAAGATTAAATCATGCTCTTAGCTATGTAAAATCCTTTGAAAAAAATTCTGACGTTCATTCTATACTACTTGTTATTTCCACTCAAACTTTCCGCGATGTTCCCTGTACACTGATAAACCTCCGAAAGAGGAAAAAAATGTTTAGTGTTAGAACTGTGGTGGAATTAAATAAATTTCCAGTATTTTTAAAGCAGAATAGGAATGCAAAGAGCCTAAGGAAGAACTTACACAAATAGCTTCTAGCTAAACCGGCAAAACGATCTTAATTTTCACGGTAATTCTTGAAGAATATGTCATAGCTCTTAGTCTTCTTAGAGTCTTAGTTCTTATGTAAATATACTGAAAACTTGGAATTTTTAGAAAAAGTGGATACATATTTCAGTTTTTAGGTTCGGATTTTATGTATGAATTATGAGGGCCACACATTCATTGTTTATTTCGTTTAATATACTTTCAAGTGTTACCCTGTGTAAACAAAGTCTTTAACTTACCTTAGTTACCCTTGGGCGACCCTCTTTAGAGGCAAAAATCTCTTAAAGCTTGGGACATGTCGCATGTAAACTAAAACTAAATTCTTCAGAAGGTCAGTATATACAAGAGTGATCAACATTCGAGGAGACACAATCATCATGAGTGACCAGTTTTATGACCCATCCAGGGTCATAAGTGATTGCTAAGTGATCAGTTTCTTCAACAGAGGCACGAATAGCAAAGTCAATAGTCTAATACAATGTTCCGTAACCGGTGAAGGACTTACACCAGTTGCCCAGTTGTCCTCACATGCCAACAGGCAACGAAAAAAACAAATAAAACTGACAAACTAAGACACAAAGAAACAAGCAAATAGATGGACAAGAAAACAAACAAAGTAAACTTCGCAAATTCATCAACTCGCATGTTTTGGGCGTCCTTATGGTTCTTAACGCAGCCACATTGGCTTTCCACTAGTAACAATGGATATCGAAAACAATTTTTTTTCCTCTTCCAAGGGACGTCGGCTCATTGTGCTACGCCAAAGCTCCGCGATACAAACTGAACTAATAATAATCCAAAACACAATTAAGCCACAAATAAACCATATGAGGGGCCCAAAACCAACATCAGTTTGTCAAAACAAATACAATTTATACTTGAAAAAAATCATTTAATCCCAGTTTGAAGTGGCTATTGAAATGTCCATTATCTCCTCGTGTTTCAGTCATAATACCGATATAAGCTAACTGTACTGTAAATAGAGCACGTTTTGGTACTAACAATAGAGTCTGCGGTTTTCGTATAAGCATTATCATTCATGAGCGGCGGAGGTACAGACCGTGACATACGGAAAATCATATGCTCGTTAGCGAGTCTTAGCTGATGGGCATAACGTACAGACTGTTACTGCAATTACAATGGAGTCGGTTATTCAAACTAACACTTGTTCCTTCTCGCCTTGTCAGTACTCTATAAGTACAGCTTTAAAGTATTGGAATTTAGCATAGATTCGGTAAAACGTTTCAAAATGGAACTGTATTTTAAAAAGAGCAACAAGAGAATTTAACTACTCGAAAGGAAAGGATCAGATACACACACAATTGCAACTTGTGCTAAAACAAGGTAGCCAATCAACCGTGGGGACACTGCACAATTTAGTTTCCAAACCAGTATACCTAATATGAAGCGAATGCTACCCTTTTCGTTTTAGGCAATAGAAAGAATAGAATGATGAAACAACAACAAAATTAGGACATCAGTTTTCTATATGTTCACGAAAGGCTTTTCTTTGTGCAAGATTAGAAAAAAAAAATTATTTCAACTGACATACTATAAGAGGTTGTACGTGGGTTTTAATTTGAAAGTTTCTTAAATTATGGCATGAGAAGAGTAGCAAATTCCGTTAATTAAATTTTTAAGATGCAAAATCCTGTTTCTCGACATATGAATAGGGTAACTTCAAAAGTCTTACTTGACGAGGAGTCTATATGTTGTAAAAGAAACGGTGTCGTTCAGAAGCGTTAATTAAGAAAAGTGCTCTTGATATTCACTAGACTAGATTATTTTTTGTTTGTAAGGGTCTACTGATAAGTGGAATGGAATCAACCAGTTTGCAATTCTAATGTAAAAGATCCATTGATCTACTGGACTTTTGTGGTTACTTTCACTGCTGGCCTCGAGTTGTGAGTAAATTCCCTCGTCTTTACTTGTTTGAGAATGATAAAACGCAATTGTCAGATCATACGTGCTGTTATCTACAAATAACAAACAACAGCAACAACTACAACCTAGACGAAGATATAGAGAAACAGCAATTAAGTAAAAAAGCACTTGCTGGAACTCATGGGCACAAATTACAATAGAGCGTAGGTTTTATGATGCACCGGTGACACCCAGCGCAGACAAGCGTGCACATCTATTGCACGATATATGATAGGACAATAGCCTATTTAGGGAGATGTATTGGTCTTTTTCAGGAGATATTAGTTCCAGGCGAGGCTACTATTTCCCTGTTTGCGTGGCCACTAACGCGGAAATAGAAGACGATAAGAACTAATCCGCGGCAACCTTCAGTCCATCAAAGTTAAGAAGTCGATTGCGGTAACTTTCAACCTTTTTTCTTTTCCATAAATTTATGGAATTGGAGAACAGAGACGATTTCTTATAATGCAGAAAAGTAAGCAGGCAGTGTGTGATAAATTTTATTACCTGAAGGTTTTACATACATGTTTTACTAAAGTTATCACTAAAATGCAGTAAATTTTATTAGCTCCGTCTTCTGTCGCTGGACTAGTCACGATGTAGGATGCACGGCGTCTTTGTATTTCATTGATCATTAACACATGAAGAGTTTCTTACCTAACACAATGAATGAAAACAAAATGAGTATACAACACCGAAATTGAATAAAATCACTGGAAAATTCTAGAAGTTTTGAAATTACATAGCAAATAGCAAACTATTGTGATAACCTGTTCTACAACTAAACTGTTCATCCTGGTACAAAGGAGCTTTTATAGCTATATTAACTTCCTGTTTTACCAAATACACCTGCTCAATGATACTTTGTGTTTTTGCACAAGTTTTAACCATTATATTTGACTGCTTTGCTAGTTAGTGTGCACAGTGTACCTTGCTTGAGTTGTCAATCACATGTAAGTACATGGTGTTATTTCGCTGCGTCCTACCTCGAAAAACTGGACCAGGTTCGAATACAGTGATAGTAGTCTTACGTGCTACTAGTGAAGTAAGGGTTCAGAATTTGATGTATTGATATGAGTTTAAAGCTTACCCCCAAATCAGCAGAGCTGACATGTTTTCCTGCAATCTCTTTGTAGTCTACGTCTGTATCTGATGTGAAAGCACTTTTGCCACATCCGCTTGCAGTACACTGGCCGTAGATCCTTGCATTCTACGGAACGAAAATAACTACATTTACAAACAGTAAAAACATACTCCAAGAATCAGTATTTTGATGATACAGAAGTGAACGTCTGAACGCATACATGCTGGTAGTATCTAAATCACGATGAGAAAGAAGGGTTGTTTCCTCAAAATTGTCGTTTTCTGAGCTGGGTAACTTATGAAGCCAGCACTGTCTTGACTTCCTTCAGTTTTGTAGCGCGAAGTAACTAAAGGGCATTAATGTTCCACTAGATGTGATGCTATTCCAGCACAGGCCATTACTGTTTTTTTTTGTTGTTGTTATCACAACAATTTACAGATCCCTCTTGCTAATTGCTTTGGAGCTAAGTGGTCAGCGAACGTAGTTAGATTTCAGATTGTTGTGGGAGATTTGTCGGTGTCTTAAGGGAAGGAGCAGAACACTGACGAAGCCAAATACACAACACGAGAAAAGCTACAGTGCTCAGCCCTCACCTTCTCTGAGGTATCCTAGTAACTCCCACACTTACTAACTGAGTGCGCCCCTTTTATAAGCTGCTCCATCTCTAATGGAGCGTATGCACATGACGTCATGGCAGCCATATTGGTGTTCCAAAACAGTGAAACGGCGGCCATGTTGGTGTACCAAACCAATCCTGTGGGAGTTCAACTCTTTTCTTATGTAAACACTTTCGTTTGCTCCAATAAATTCAAATGGCTGCTAGGCACGTGAGTGCATACGTTCTATTACTTTGCCACACCTTTTGGGTCTTGTGACATAAATGAATGATATAAATATTTGTATTTAGTCCATGATATGTGACGGTGTTTTACAACTGTCTATGTTCCGTACCTAAGTCAGCTTTTATTTCTCCCAGGTTGACATCTGTTAATAAAGAAGAAAAAGAAAACAAGACTACTTAACTTAAAAAAATAACTAAATTTGTCTGTCATTGTGCTCAAATTAACAATTATAGTCTGTTTTGTTTCAATTGAAAGCAACATTTCAACAAGTGCAAGAAGCAGAGTGTTTGAGTAACGTTGATGGTGACAAAATAAAACAACAATGCGCGCGATACAGAGAAAAATTCCTGTAATCCAAAATGTCTGAAATAAAGTTAAACTCAGGGAACCGTTCAACAAACCAATAAATTATTATAACATAGCAAAAAAGCTATTTTACCCTCAAGTGAAAGGTTCTGACGCTCTTCGATTCCGTCGATGGCTTTCACAGCGTAATTTGTCAAAATACTTAGCGTTAAAATAGAAAAGATTAGACTCTGCACTTTAAGCATCTTGCCGGCTTTCGTGGGTTGATTGTTTGCCTTTGTGTTACTCAGCTCTTATTGCATGGTGAGAGTGACAGCATTCCTTTATATGTATTCCTTTATATTTAGTTTGTTCTTGACAGCTGCGAGGGTTCAAAGATAGCGGTAAAGCTTGTTAACTGTGATCATATCGGTGCAGATCCGCCAACTCTTTTTTCATCTTTAAAGCTATTATTATGCAATTATTATAATTATTAGGAAAGCCGAGAAAATAACGTGGTTAGATTATTTTATCCTATTTTTGGGTCGCGGGCGAAGCTTTTTAATTCAGTTGTAATTAGTTTTAACAAATACTAGCACATACGACACCATTCCTTCACCAAGAATAATCGAATGTGTATTTATTTAACTGGTAATATGTTTTGGTTCTTTGTTTGTTTGTTCTGGTCACACGAATGTGTGGGATATGCGAATCATCATTGTAGCAATGGGCACGTGCAAAAAGGGAAAATTCCGAACTTGCTACCTAATTCTGTAATGTTCACCGCCATCTATGGCTATGCATCTAGAGCAATTAACCTGAGGAACGAGAGATCCAAACAAGAAACTCAACATTAAAGTTTTCTACGGTGATAAAGAGTTCCTCTTGGAGTTTTGATGCAAGAAATCTGTCACACCCAGACGCGAAAGCAAACCGCAACTTTTTATCGAAACACGCTTTCACTATTCACAAGCACGCCCACAAATCTTTTATCGCGTTTTGCCCCACGTCCCAGGTTTCCAGGTGTTATCATTTGTTTTTTTATAGAGTATAAAAAAAGCAAGTGAAATTATATTAGTAAGAACACACCAAAACTATTATGGAAAGAACTGTTTGTTTTATCGACCATCAGCCGCGAAAAGGACTTGGAAAGTCATCTGTAAGTTCACTGTGTTGCAATTTTTTGCTAAGAAAAATGTGTCGCTTTCACCGTTGCGGTAACGGTGAAAGCGAAACATTTTTCTTACTTTTTGAAAAAAAAAAGATGACTTCCTTCTCTATGCATGTTTTCTAGAGTTTATCGGCAAACATTTCAATGCGACCAGTTTTATATTCTTTACCACTAAAATTTCTGTCAAGGGCATTCCAAAGATCATTCCGATTTCTTTTCAATGCTTGAAATCTTTAACAGAGCAGGTCGCAGACGAAACAATAGCGTTTGATGCTGTAATTTTCGCGGTAAAAAAAGTCGGATTTCTCTGTGTAACAACCACAAACCTTTGACAATAGAAGTGATAAGTCAGCCATTGTGGTTTTGATTTATCTACTCCACAAAACTTAAACAGTTTTAATTTGAGATTATCATATGACAACTTCGCAAGATGTCAAACACGTGTCATTTCTGTTCGTAATCTCCAATGAAAGTACAAAAGTTGTACAAAAGTTACGATTTTAAATAATGAAGTTATGAAGAAAAGAAGAAAAAGAAAATTTATTAATTTAGTTGTTTTTTCTATGACCTTGAGTTAAACTTTAATCTTTATGTTTCTGTTCGATTAAAAAATAAGATCAAAAACAGGATCAGACGTGTAGGAGGTGTGATGTAGCATCGATCCCTAGTGATTTTCCCTTTTCTTCCTTACACATCACCAAAAGTTAAAAATTTCACAGCTTCGTGCCCTGAGAAAACCTGTTTCATGCGATCTCGCATGTGCTTTCTTGCCCACGGTATCGAATAGAACCAAATCAAATGTATTTATTCAAGTCAAATCAGTTAACTATAAGACACAGATTACGGTAGAGATAAATCATCACATTAAAAGCATGGAACAAATATAACAATGTCTTAATAGTGAGTCTGGATCATCTAAATAGCAAAGCTAATTAAGTGGATGATCCCAATAGAATACAGTTACACACAGAGTATAACGAAGTTTTTTAAGATAAAAAAGTATTTCTCCATGCGTTAGGCTATAATTAACAAGTATACTTGTCAAGCATAGCGTTCTTAGGGGTTTTGCAAAAGATTGAAAGAACATTTGACTTAGTGATATTAATTGGCAGAGAATTCAACAGTGACAACGGGTGTTACTAAACAGAGTAACGCGGTAACGAGTAACGAGTAACCGAGTAACGGGTAAAAATTTCAAAGGTTTAAAAATCATAAAATCTTGAAAAAAAAAAAAAAAAAAAAAATTCACGAAGCAAGCCTGGCGAGTCGTCGCCATTAAAATGATCGATGACTTAGTTGCAATTGTCGCAGAAAATCAGTCCATGTCAGCCGAAAAGACTTCTTTCTTCACTTTTCTCTTAATTACCGTAGGTTAATATCTGCTCTGAAGACAGAATTATTTCAGTCGATCATTTCAACCGTCAGGTAGTAGATATATTTCCTTTCCACGAAGATGATATTTATAGTATCAAATTTCAGGTTTCAAAAATCTTGGCCTTCTCCGCGAGTCGTTTTTTCGTTACATGGACCCCGTCACTCGTTACTGCGTTACTCTGTTTAACACCTGGCGAGAACTATCTGTAATGATCAGTGAAATGTTTTCCCGCGCTTTTCGCTCGTTACTTGTTTTCCCGCGATTTCCATCGCAATGCACATAGTGTCGAGGTAGCCAATACAAACTGTTTATCACGAGCAAAAATGTGCGGCCTGTATTTCTAACGGGTCCTTACGACTGTGAATTGCCGACTTATTTAAGCCTTTCTTTATTCACAATCTTGGTGTCAATTCTTTTGTTTGACTTGGAGCTATGAAATATTTGGCGACGGCAATCGAAGTCACAATCATAGGTTCAGGCCCTGTTTAGGACAGAGCTGATAATAATTGAGTTAATAGTATATATATATTAATATATGATTAGGCACATTTTATCCTGTAGATATTCGGTGATCGGTGAATGCATGTAAAGTTATTGCAGCGGCCACCAGCACACTATGAGTTATCTAGAGTGGTTTTACCCCGTGAAACAGATAGTGGAATTGTACACGCCACAGCTTCGTATTAGCTCCTACTATCCCCTTTATAGTTAGTAATTCTTTTGTTTTCTAGTCTTTGTTTTTGTATACCACGCACTTATACTAATTAGCAGACAATATTACACACTAGCAAATAGTTTCTGTTTCACGGGTTCAGTAAAATCACTCTAGCTTCTTCCTCGGCGTACGCAGTTAGGATACGTACACTGAATTAATAAACGAACGTAACATGGAGGAGAGTGACAGTTATCGTAAACCTCTCTACAACTATCGGGGCAGGATAAAGTCCTGTAAAGTGGCCATTGTAGAGGGAGGAAGAGATGTAACTTTTCCTAAATTATGCAGCGTTTCATTCAACGTATGATGTATAGTATAGAAGCTGGGACAAAACTGTTTCAAAGCCAATGAAGTAAGCAATGAGATGGGGACTTCAACATCAGTTACCTTTCAATTTCCAAGATGTCAAAGCTATCAGTTAACATTTCAACTCATTTCTCAGTTATCAGTAAATTTTGCAGATCTCAGGTATCGGCTAAAATCAAGTGATTTCGTACCCTGGGTGGTCCCCTGGGTGACCCAGGGTAGTCACTATTCAGCTGGCAGCTAAATTGTTGACCAATTTTCAGTCCCTACAAATATACACTTTAAGTGCAACTTTAAAAGAGGATTTGTTTTTTTGGGATAGCGCCTAAGAAACTGAGACGAGCGTGGAGTTGATTTGAACGTTAACCGGTACTCTGCCCGTGAGGCCCTCGCTCTCGCATAACATATCTAAATGTAGTGTGATATCTTGAAGCACAGCGAAAGCTTCAGTATGTCTTCTATTTATAACGTTACAAAAATTGGCAGTCAGTCTCATAGTGTAAGGTTAAGCTTCCAGCCACAGAATGCGCTCAAAGGCGGCAACGGAAGAGGGCGTTAACTCTGTGGAAACCTGGAGCCCAGTAAAAAGCTACCGGCACACCATGTTAACGAGGCATAAAAAGGCCAAAAAAGCTGACCATGGTTGCAAGATGCTCTAAGCTCACTATTTCATAGCACTTGATCATTCTTATGATCTGCTTTCTAACCAAATGAAACTTATTCTGTTATGAATGCGGCTACGTCAGTTGCTCAAAATTATAGGCCTCGCTTTCGCTTGTGGCATGCTTTGTCAGTGATAAAAAAGCTGTTATAACATTGGCAAACAAACGAGACAAAAGGGTCAATTCTGCCTTATATTGATCGTTTTACCTCATTTGTATGTCTGTTTAAACTAAGACTAAACTGTTGTAACTTTGCTCGTTGAAAGCGACGCTTGGGGTGACACTAGCTCGTTTGACGTAAAGGCGGCTGGGGTTAAAAACAAAATGCAGAGTTTTAATTTTAAAATTCAATAATGAACAATTTCCACGTTATCACTGGTTTCTCAAGTAACCGCTGTGTCCCGCTCAATTAAACTGCCTTTCACAGTTAGCAAGAAGGTTGGACTTTGAGAAAGAGTAGACCATCTTTGTCAAGGCAAAATTTATTTTCAGGGCAGACATAACTTCTTTACCAAATTACAAATTATTTTAGCGAGATTGTCTGCTGGTTATATTTTGCTGCCAGGCAGAGTTAACGAAAATATTTAAGAACTCTGAATTCTCCGGCCGTTAATGCTGACCATCCTTCTCACGTTTGGCTAGGATGTCACGCAACAGATACTTCAGACTGTGACCCAACGGAAGATGGTCATCTTGGCCTGGACCGATCAGCACGGACTTTGCATGTACTGTAGTTTTCCAATCTTCTGAACTCCTTTTTCCTGAGCAATTACTCTTGCATTCTTCATTCCTTGACGTACAAGCCGTGCATTCGCTGGGGTCACTGCACATCGAAAAACATTGGTTAAAGAGTGCGTCACAGTCACACGAGCAGTACACTGAATGAAAGCAGCAATAAAGTAGAAGAAGTGCTCCAAAATAAGCAGAAAAACCAGCCATCTGAAAGGGAACAATAAAAAAAAAAAAAAGAATTAAGACGAAATCCGATAGGAAATCGAGCAATTTTAGCTTTCAGTGGACAAAACCCTTGTACCAGAATAATTTTAAGTTTTTCAGCCCGTTTTACATTTTCAGTAAAGCGTAAGATATAAATAGTTGCTTGTAGTAATACCGAAAACAGTTTTCAATAGGAACTCGAGAAAATACACTTCAAAGTTCAGAGAAATTGTGCAAAAACAGGTAAAATTTCATCATCAGTTTCATTTCACCAGAACTTCCAAGTGTTTCTTCAAACTTTGTTTCGACCTTTGGTGTTGTAATAAATGAATTTGTTTGTGAAGATATTTAAAACAATCCCACAGAAGTCTGTGAAAAGATGTAAATAATTTCGGTACAAAGCTTTTGTCCGAACTTCCGGTGGATTCCTTCTTAATAGTCCTTTTTCACCAATTTATCATTTTCGACATCTAAAAGCTAGAAAGGGTAACATTAGGATTTCGCACAAACATCGCTACTACGACTGCAATTCGAGTTAATTCGTACAATCTTTACTTTAATTATATTAATATTGACATATATTATTACAAATTATCTGTCTTGGATTCTTGAAGGTTAATATCGATATATCATGGCCGAGCCTTATAAGTGGTATCATTTGCGGTCATTTTTGAATCGATTAAGTTTCAAGGGGAACTAATCCACCAAAAGTTATATCCTTCTTTTTTGTCACAAAAGTGACAAATGCTCAATTCTCTTCGCAAAAAAAAAAAATAAAAAAAATAAAAAAAATAAAAAATTAAGCAAAGAACTTGTTATAATGTCAGTAGTATTTTGTTTTCATTGTGGTTTACATATTATAAAACTTTATTAGCTAATAACTGAGAAGAATACTGTATTTGAGAATTTTTCAAACAGGAATTTCGTACAAGAAAATTGGAATAACAAAATTTCTAATATCCATGCATGTATCATCCAACTTTTTAAATGAATCTTAAGTTCCGAAAGGCAATAATAACAAAAATACTTCACGTTCATAGTTCTTTCCCAGTTAAACATACAGTTACCATAAGTCATCAACTTATCATTACCTCATACCTCGTGCCCTCTGTGTTATAGTTACTCAAGCGATATTAGCTGGACAGAGAGTTGTCGATTTTTCTTATGCGGAGTGTCGGCAGCATCCAGTTTCTTATAACCGTTATTTAGCATCCGGCCTTGTGTTGTGGGCCTCCACTATTAATGGACGTTGAAAGCGGCATCTAAATGAAGGTCGGTATGGACTTCATGCAACGTCCGGGAAAGGTTATTAGCATTTGGCTGAGGTGAGCGACCATTTCTATTGTGTTTGTGGCGGCAACCGTTTGTTTAGATCATCAACTGGAGTTGTTTTCTTGTCGTTACGAATCAAGCCCCTTTTCACCTGCTTGAAGTTGTGTCAACATTTTAGTAATAAGTCAATGCAGCCTCGGTTTGTTTCACACGAAACGTATGTTGATTAAAGAAAGTGATCTGATTTGATCAGAACTAACCACTAAATTAGTTACTGAGTCTTATCATTTTCCAGTTGTGCCGGAAAGATTATGGGTTTATGGCGGAGATGCTCAAACGAGAGCGGTTTTTGGATGGTAAAGTTCTCAAGCATTGCCTTTTGTTTGTTTGTTAATCGTGAAGGTGACGTAGATTTTCACCTGTTTCAGTCTAAAAGTACAACGCCACGGATCATATTCAAGTTTGATTGACTTAATTAACTGAGAACTCTCAAGAGATGATGCTTGAGTGAAAAATGGGTTTTATATTCGTGCAGTGTCATTCGGAGGAAAGGAAACTTCGGCGCAAGGTGATATTATCATTATTGGACAATGAATTATTTTTGCTGATATTTTTTGTGTTCAGTATTGTCTGAAAAGAAAAGGGAAAATATCACCAAATGGTAAAACAAAACAAAAAATTAATTAAAACCTTATCAGTCAAACGAACTAAGGCAATACTGGCACTGCAGACCCGTCCTTTTTATGGAAAGGTTTCAAATACAAAGTTCAAGTCAATACCAAAGCAAGAAATAAAGAAATCCTGTGTCAAAGCGCCACAATAGCCGTTGACTAAGGATTTATATTGCATCGCTTGCAGAGGTTGAATGGAAAAATATTCAGAATTTTATATGAGTAATAATCATCATTTTTTTTTGGCTAAACTAATACCGTAATCCTTTTCTTGTTTCTTTTGTGTTCAGTATAAGTTTCCCACAAAAAATCTTACTGTTTATTTAGTCGGGAAAACCCATAACAAAGAAATCGTTTTTTGTTGCAAAAAGAATACTATACCGTGGGTGGAGGAAGCAGGTATTTTGCCGAAAATGTCAATGTTTTATTACATCTTTGAGGTACTAATTGTAGTCGAGGAAGATCAAAGTAACAAAAATGTCTTCTGTCTTCTGCTTCTAGTTTAATGCCCTTTTCATCTTATTTCGCGTTCAGAGCTTTCAGAATTTCAGCTTTTGAGCTAAAATCTGTTTCCTTTGTTTTTGGTGAATGCACTTCTTTCTGATCCTTCGGCAATAAATCATGCAAAATTGTCTTCACCAATATTTGACCAAAACAACCTAGCTTTTGTACAAGTAAACGAAGCCACTTAGATATTCAGGTCCAAATACGTATTTACTATATCGAGATCTTTAATTCTATCTATTCCTTTTTCTACTCCTCATCTAGAAGATTATATTATCTCTTTGGTTTACGGAAATACTCGTCTTGCGTCTTTCAAATAAGCTGTTCCTCCAATCAGCGTTGCTGATTACATATCAGGTCAAATAAAGCTCACAGCGCCAGGAAATGAAGCTGGACATTACTCTTAATGGGTTTGGGGATTTTCGTGATAACAGGCTTTTCGCTTTTATATTTAAGGCACAATAAAAAGCAGCGGTGTATTAAGATGTCCTAGACCGTCTTATTCAATACACAGACATGACGGCTTTGATTCACCATACGTGATTTACCGGGCTGAACGTGCAATAACAAAGACAGCACTATAGAAGTCTATATTTGGCACGCATATTTGGCAACTTGTATGATTAAATTAACTAGTCATCAGATAAAATTCAATGAAATACAGTATTGTGCGTTTAAAAGTACTGTTATATAGCCTGTGATTTTGAACTGAATGTTGTATGACTTAGGAACTTCAGAGCTCAGTTTCTGCCTTATTAGCTGGAAAATAACTATGGCGTTGTTTCAAGGAGATTTTTGGAACAATTGTATAGTGATCACACCGTTATTTACCGCGTAACTGAAATCATATAACACTCCAAAGCAATAGAAGAGGAAAAACACCCAAAGGAAACAGTTAGGGAATGAATTTTCTTCTACAGTACATGAAACATTGGACGTGTTTGGAATATCATCAGATAATTTACACGGTTTCTTAGATGTATTAAATGCTAAATATTGTAAGGTCGTGTCCTGAAAGTAAGTAAATGGTTTTCATTTTGACAATTTGAATTCTAAATGTGGCAAGGTGAAATTTTTTCTGTTTTCATCTTCCAGATTTTGACTACTTTCGATTTTAAAATGTGGCAAGGTGAAAAATGTTCTGTTTTCATCGCCCAGATTTTGATCAACTAGATTTCTGAACATTGTTATGTCATGGCAATATGGCGAAAATAGAATGAACAATTCATATGAAAAAAAGAACGAAAAAACAAAATCCCTGGTATGCAGGGAACAACTAAAGTTCACTGCGCGCGAAGAAAAAAACTAGAAATCAGGAATTTAAATATTAGAATCAATGAAATGAGGACAAATGTATTATTTAAGAAAAGTCATCATCTGCATTGTCCTCCGGGGCACAATAGGTGTCAGTTTTAACAAAAGCTAATAAAATATAAGGAACTTCTAACGGTGGCCGCTATTTTTTGGTGGCACGGCACGCGAGCTATTTTAAGCACCCGCTCGCGCGTCATTTTCTGCTTTCAGTGCCGTAAATTGAAGAAAATGAACAATAAATTTACGGCCATCGCTTGAGAATGAGTGTTTACGTTATGATTGAATAATATCATGCACTTTTCAAGGCCGGATATTGAGCACAGACAATTCACAAGAACGGCGATCAAAACTAAATAGATCAGTAATAATCCACGACTAGTTAGTTTTTTATACAACGAAGTATGGCTAGGCACTGTTCATATTTCATGATAGAAGAGGACGGGAGCTAAATACCGGTTAGAATTGAAATTTCATTTCCACTAAAATTAAAGAAAAAAAATCTCAGAGAAAAATATACTTACGAAATTGATTGGTAGATTTATGATATGATAAGAAGCTTCGTTTTCTTTTGTCTGTCGACGAGGAGAGGGAGAATGTTGATGTAGATGAGTACGTTTTTGTTACCTTTGTGCATTGATCTTATAGTTGGTCGCAGACTGTAAGGTGCATTGCAAGCTATAGCAACACAGAGCAAGCCTGCCTAAAGCCGTCCATCTAAAAGAAAAAGGCCTTTGCCGCAAACAGCACATGCGTGGAACTTAATGGCAACCTACATAGGCAAGGTTGTTACATCGTACGATGATTAAATAAAAGCTGGGAAGTTCCCAGCCTCTCATCGAGCAGGCAAACCGATATAATGATTATGACATTTAAGACATTGGTTATGGCTGTGCTTGACACCTTCAGTTCACATGATCGGGTGCCACTCTTGTGTCATTTCTGGTCTTTTGTATTACCAGGGGACTTAAGATGTGAGTAAGAATACGTGATGGGGTACGAGTTCGACTTTTCAATTTAGTTTGTAGGCTCTACATTTCCACGTCACACACCCATCTCTTCATACCCATCTCTTCCTACCCGTCCTATGAGCTACCCTCTCTACCCATAAAGCCAACATAAAGAGCAAGGGTTCTGGAAAAGTCACTGGTTTGAAATTTGAAAATCGCACTCGTACTCGTACTCGTATTTTCATCTAAAGGTCTCTATTCTGGAACGGCCTACACTGGAGGAAATATCGAGCACTCGAGTCACAGTCGGGTTTGAATTGCTGATAAGACTTCCAGGGTAAGTGCACCCCCACCCTCCCCCACTCACAACAGCTCGAGAATTTCGTCACATTAATTTCTCTGGTTTCTTACTGAATGTTATGTGTCCAGTGCATTTTCCAGTGGAAAAAGGCAAATTTATTACCCTTTAAGAATCCTGTCTCACAGAGATATCTGATTCAGCCTTCAGTAAAGCCACTGCAATAAACTTTGGAACGACGGTCTTTGGTATCCTTTCATTTTATTGACACCTTTCAATTCATCGACAAGTTTTAGTTATCAACAGTGTTTTACAAACCGGCATTAATAACATATCCTGTAGGTGAATCATTTTATACTACTGCATCTCTTTTGTCTCAAAACAGAAAAGGAAATTCGTTTTGCTCTGCTTCTTTCTGTCGATATTATAGTGAGTTGTCCAACAACATGTACTCATCAGCCAGTGCATCAAGCATTGTTTCGTCTTTCTTACTTCGGCGACAATTCTTGTAGCACATCATCTTTTCTAGATTACATCTGTTCGCACATGTGTCGGTTATGCAGCCATTAAGACAGGATATTCCATGGTCCATACAGAGGCAAGCTGGCGCAGCATCCACGGTCTGTAATATCTCCACTATTACAACTGTAGCAATCATAGCATACAAAAGGTGACTCCTCAACTGAAATAGTTGTTGAAGCAATGTTAGTGTAGGAACTGCTGGGGAAAGCTTAAGTGTTTCAAATAAATTAAATTTACTCGGTTAGTTTGAATTGGCTCATAACCTGCACATACGAGATGCAGAATGAAAGTGAATGTTTGCCGTAGATGACAGCACCTTCTTAACTCAAGGATTTGACATGTACGCACTATCTGATCAAGGTTATACAGTCAAACCTCCATAATAATAAGGACGCCAAAGGGGCAGATCCGAGGGTCCATATTATTGAGGTATTCGTAGTATAAAGGAAGAGATTATGTGAATTTTGATTTCTGTGGGATCAAGTGAATTGTCCGTAAAACAAAAGCGCCCCTATCCTAAGTGTTTGGGCAGCACTTATTGAATACGAAGTAGAAGACGATTTCCGGTACGAGACGAGGAACTCACACCCCATTCTTAGGCTAACTATTGTCATACCATTGTCTGATTGACTTTTCTCGAAGTTACAACGTATAAAAGCCAGTCCTAATAAAAAAATCGAGCTTATGCTTTTCTGATTGTATTGACGAAGTTTTGGAACTATTTTCATCTACCATATAACAAAAACTAAAATAATAAAGTGTATTATCGTTTGTCTCACGATGTAGTCACTTGAGATGTAGATCGCGACGTTTCGACTGCTTACTGCTAGTCTTCTTCAGGCATCGCCTGACGAAGACTAGCAGTAAGCAGTCGAAACGTCGCGATCTACATCTCAAGTGACTACATCGTGAGACAAACGATAATATTCTTTATTATTGCACATACCACGATGAATAACAACAACCTTTTCCTCGACATAAAAACTAAAGTCAGAAAGTAACCAAACTGCAAATGAGGTTTCGCAGTTTTGGCGGTGAATGTGACCATAACTCATTAACTCCATACGAGATGCAGGTGATTTTGCTTAATGAGTAAGATTTACCAATGTCCTGAGAAAGATATGTCAAACTTAGCAAAAAAAAAAGCAACAAATAAACAAACAAAAAAACAGAGAAAGAAAGAGGATTTTATCGTGAGAAGGTCAACGGTCCGGCACGGAGTTAAATGCTGGACTAAGTGACCTGCGCTTAAATGCTGGCTAATTATTTTCTCTCGACATAACACATTCGTTTCAATTTCTTTAGAACCTTGATTGCTCAGCGACCATTACCGGCTGACAAGGCAAGCTTTGGCTTATAAAGTCTTTTTATGCTATACAGAAAATACATTTACGTGGTCCATCCAGGTAACTCCTTTCGTGCTTTCTTAATCAAGATCTTTCTTATTTCATTTCCTCACGAAGGGAACAAAGAAAATCTACTTCCATTTTCCGTTTCCATTTTCTTTCGATTCCGCTTACGACCCTTCACTTATGATCCATTTAAAACTAGATTTTCGGTGTTGGATGCAGAAGCGGAAGAAGCAACCACTAACAAAGCCCAGATTGAAGCATTTTTGATTGGTTAATTCTTCCGCTTTTGTCTCCGACTCCAACAATGATCATAAGCGACAGAGACATAATCGCAATTGGTCTTGAATTCTGCTTCTGATTCTGTCTGTCTGATTTTAACTAGATCGTATCGCTCTGTGTTTCTGGTTAAGACTCCGACACCGACTCCGTCGCCAGTGAAAACCAGCCTTTCAGAAAGCGAAAGCATGTGAGACATACAACTGTTTCACTAGAAGTCAATTGTTCTCGCTTTTACCGATCACAGCGGCGAGCGAAATAACAGACAACCTACAAACCCGCTTGCTATGTATGTTTTGAAGAGGCATGATTGTGCTGAAAGCGATACGAGAACGGCTAAATTAATTACTCGAAACGGTGTTCTGAGAACCCAAGGCATTGATGTTTGGGAATAACAACCATAGTCGAAACGTGTTAATCCAAAGCTGAGACTTGATCCATAACTTCCTGTTTTTTTGTCCACACAACGTATAGTTATCAAAGGAGTAGTTTTTCTTTTGCGTGAATGTAGTTTTCTTATGTATGAATGATTAATTAGTAACATGAAATGTGGCTATGGAAGACAAAAACTTTGCCCAGTAGTGCGTGGTAATCTGGTGTCCACGTTCTTTATTAGTTGCATCTTATCGTAAACATTCAGCCAACGTGTTATTATCTCCCTGTTCGGCGCTGACAGGTTTCTTGTCTCCATTTTTCTTGTTGTTTTTCCCTTTGTCTTGAAATCAATGGACCAATCTTATTTTAATTATTTCAGACTCATAATTCTGACATCAAATTGACCGTTTTATACCAAATGGGCGTCTTCAGCTTCATTAATCAAGTAACATTGTTTGAATTCAAAAGTGTTAAACGGATGAGGCGATAATTATTGTGTGAACAAAGTAAATTATAGCAATAATTGGTGAAAGGAATCACTCTCTTTTCCTCATCGAGTTGCATGTTGACAGCTGCGTTCATTCATTCATTACCAACTCACTATGCTCGACGCATTTAGTCGTTTACTGTAGAGTAAAAAGTATGTTTTAGGTAACTGTGAGTTGCTTGTTCCGTAGAATCCTATTTAATTTTCTCCACAAAAGTTTCAAAGATTTTAGTTACTTCTTAAACATGGTATTTTTAAAAACATCAGACGCCAATGCTATTAGGACTGTGACTAACTTTGATGCACACGGTAGCAGCAGAAAACAGCACAAAATCAGAGGAATTGAAGCGTTCTTCAGTAGATTCCCCTGAATTCGCAAAGTTCTACGTCGTGTACGATTTCCGCTTAAAATATGTTCAACATGTACATTCTTTTATTTGACTTCCCGTAGTACAGGTAACGAGATTTAATTTCAATGGATATTTGTTACTATCATGTTTTTCGACTCATTTTTTCGATTACAAAGTCATATCTAGCTAGCACAAATGTGACCAAAGATTTCAAACTTCAGTCAGCCTACGTTTTCTCTTCTTTTGAGCAGAATCTTAAAGGAACGGAAATGAAACAAAGCCAAAGGTCATAGACAACAAATACAACTTGCGATTACTCGGTAATAGATAAATCCATACAACAAGTGGACTAGATATTGTTTCTCGACTTTCCGAAACTGAGCCCTTTAAATTTTATGCTGTGATGAAACCGGCGGACCGTCATACTTCATGAGAGTGGGAGAAATTGCCTTTACTGTTCAAACTCTGTACTTTCTTCCGAAGTTTTAGAAACTCTTGCATTGGGTCTTTTTTATTCACACTCTCTGATTAAAAAGTTTGGTCGTCCTCAAAACTATATTAGGTTTACTTCTCGGACCTCGCCGAAAACAAACGTAATCAATTTGGCTTATATTCGGACCTGTAATGTTCATGCTCGTAAAATCCCGGTTAATTAGTATTTCACAAGCAAAGAAATGCAAAACAACGCATTCAGCTTACCATGGTTGTCATTTGATTTGGTTCGATCAAGGTGAATCAGTGAGAAATCTCTTCTCGTCAAGGCGGTTGTTTCTTTTTCCTCTTTGAAAATAGTTTTTGTTGTCCAGTGTTTTTTTATATATTCCACCTCAAACAAATTAATTCCCCCGCTAGCTGTCTCTGAACACCTGCCGTTGCGATCAATTATCGCTCGTTGTTTCCACTAATCAACTTCTTCCTTTCTCCCAGAGATAAGATGTGCAAACAATCATTCTTTTCAAACCAAACTCGTGGTGGGAGTTTTATTAAAGAGACAAATTTAATTCGTAGTTGATGGATGCATTAACCATAAGTTCTGAAGCTACAATCAGTTTGAAAATGCTTTCAGCATGGCTTGATTTAGCCTGACTACAGAGGCAGATAATGGCTCAATTATAGTATGCGAGAAAGATAACACGGAAGAAAAATTCGACAATTTTCACCTTCTGTAGACCACTGTGAATAGATTATTCTATTTATTTAAATTCTGCTTTTAACATTTCATGTATTTTTAAACTTAGATACTTGTCAGAATTTTTTATGAAAAATATTTTGGAAACTAGCCCAGTATTCCGCGAAAGTGGTGGCGATCTTTATCATTATTTCAAACAAAACTCGATTGCTGTCGTTTTGTTTTGTCTCGACTACGTTCCCGCCACATAAAACCTTCGTCATGCTTTGCCACGATAACACAATACATGGAATCGAACAAACGAACTGACCTGAGCTGAACTCATCTCCTCAAAAGACTTAACTAGCCCGATACGATCTGCCAAAATTCTCTGAGTGCATGGTATAAGGCTTTATCAACTCTGTAAGTTGTTTAATCTTAGTATGGTTTTATTAAATCTTATATGAGTGGTTTGACTGCGTCCCCTGATAAGTTTCTGTTAAGCTTTTACTTGATGAAATGAACAAAGCTGTATTTCCACATTGGAAATTGTAATTTTTTTTAACTGTTGTTAGTGTTCAGGAGCGGTCCTTTACCGAACTTTTCTCTTTCAAGTCCTCTCTATCTGAAGCTATCTGTCTCCCGTAAAATAACGCTAAGTTTGATCTGCCTGCTTGAGAAAGACGAGATATGTGTGATTGGGATCTTTGAAATCAGTCACAATGATATGCCATGAATCAGCTGGTCAGCATGCCGGTGGTTTTCCCGTGCGATGGAGGGCGGGGCGGAGCAGAAAATAGATTTGTATGGAGGACCATGAACGAGTGAAAATGTGGGGGTGGTTGGGGGGACTACGGGGAGAGTGAAGTTAGGCCTTTTCTTGCTTTGAAGAAGAAGGGATGGAGAGGAAATGGCTCCTAGATCTGAGGCACCGACAGAGTTGCTCCGTCGTATCGAGGCTCAACATTGTAATTTGGTATCATTTAGTGTATTCCTTCACAGTAAGGTCTTGTACCTAGAGAACATTAAAAGGAAATATAGTCTCTAGATATAGTCACTCCTAAAGGCACTTCCAGTACTAACCAGCCGGATATTCCTCTTTATCACATTCAGTTCAATTATTTGTCATGATTTATTTCAACACAACACCTCAACATTGCGTGTTCATCCCCCCTCGCACTAAAGTTGTTAAAGTTAAACCTCTGTTACGCGTGCAGAGAAATGCCTATTGACTGAGAGAAAATCCGATTAAGCCAAGAAGAGTTTGCTTTTGAATTAACAATTATTCCATGCGTCCGAATTGGATGGGTTAGTTATAGTCACATCGTAACCAACGAGGGAGAATGGAATAATAATCATAAATTGACTGGATGATGTGGATGATGCGGGCATTTCAGTTTGATCTAAACAAAAAGATGCACTGAAAAAGCAGTAAAAGCGGGCACCTTGTTCACTCTTTGAGTTAGATGAAACATAATTAAAACGAAAGAGAGCGAGGCATATTTGTCTTCCTAAATATCCCTTGAATAATCTCCGCTTAAGTCGTCCATTTTCTGCAAAATTGGGACCGACGGAAAAGGTTTAAGGGAAGGTTCAGCGTAAGAGGCTGCGAAATCTTTGCTACTTTTCTTTGTCGTTTGGTCGCTTGTGTTGTACATTTACAAGCGTTTTCATTTTAGTTGAAAAATGTTGCTTATAAAACTCTGTTTTATCCAGTTATTTTTTTATTTTATTATTTTGGGATTTCCCTTAATTGTTTCTATTTCTGCGATAGAAAACTCAAAATAAATAAATAAAAACACTAGTTTGCCTAACAGGTAGTGAATGTTGCCTTAAGTTAGTATGCATAGAGGACCCATAAAGCCATATATTGCAGAACAGAACAATTTTTTGAGTAGTTTTGTACGTAGTACACATAAGCCTTGTTTTAGACTAGGTTTACACTGGAGGAGATAAATCCGGATCCGTAAGTGTTTCCGGATTCATCAATTTTAGAGTATTCGGATTCGTAGGCGTTTACACTGAAAGGATGTTCGGATCCCTAACCGTTTACACAGGGAGATAACTCCGGGAACATTCATGATGAAATGTTTAACAAGCTGCAGCGAGAACAAAATGCTGCCAAAAAAAGGCTAGGGGTAGGTTGAGACGGTCTGAAGTTTTCTTCCCACTCGCACACCACGATATTGTTGCTCACCACGGTTGTCCCACCAGGCATTTGTCCTGGTCTTATCCAGAATCGTCCAGGTTTTCGATCGTACCATTGTCATCTCCGATAAAGTGTGGAAGACGTCAACATTGTTTGCGTCGATAATTTTTAGTTTCTGAGGAATATAGCATTACCCATTATAAAAGATTGCCTGTACCTGTAACAGAATGAGGCAACCAGCGACCGCCATCAATGGCTATCAATGTGACTACGACTGTGACTACGTGACAGGACATTGCTAGATTCGGCATGTTGGTTCTTCCGCAAACTTAAAAGATCGCAGCCGGAAAAATATGCGGATTAGAGAAAAAATCGTTAACATGACAAAACTCTCCGGATTCAAAAGTTTTCGGATACAAAGTTCCCACTTTAAATTCCGGATTCAAAATCTTTGGAGACATCATGCACCAAACCGGAAGATTTTATTGCGACCTTTTAGGGTGGCCTAGACCTATTCGTCGTGCCATTCAGTGTGGCATGCATATGGGGATGAACAAATCGTGTGATAACAATGTAAATGATTAATCATTAGTTGTGTGTTTGCATGTTTGAATGAACGCCACCAAATTTATTTTTAAAATAAAAGAGGAAGATAGACATCTAAAGCTCTGGTCAAACGGTGCATGATAGTCGATGAAAGTTGAATGATTCTCACCGAACTTTCACCGACTATCATCAACTGTCATCGACTATCATGCGCCGTTTGATAGGGGTTTAAAAACTGTGCGACAAGAGGATAATTTTTTAAGAATGATCTATTGTGTATATTTGTCTCAGACGAGTTCCCGGGAACTCCATATAAACAAAGAAAATACCAAACGTCGTCGGAGTAAAGCGTACAAAGGGTGTTGTCGTTAAAATTTGCGACGTATTTGTTAGCTGATTGGTTTAATCGTATTTTCCATATTCATGATGGCTATTGCTGATCTGAGGTGCTTGTTTGTCATTTTAAGATGTTTGTTGTCGGAGAAAGATGTGTACTGTTCCCTTCTACACGAGAAGCAAATTCTTACTTTGAAGAAGAAATGGCGAATACGTCAGGGAAAGGACAGTTTGTCAACACCCGTTTTTCTCAATGGTTAGTATCAATTTCTTTGCATTCTAAGTAAAATATTCATAAAAAATACCGGCCCTAAGTTCCACCACGCGCGCTTGACCGGCTCGGTTTACGTTTCGTGTTGAACTTAGAGCAACCTAATTCTTTTAGTAAAGTAGTAAAGCTTAAGGAAGAAGCTAGTTCAGGAACCATACGAGACGCTTAAGTTCATAGCGGGTTATTTCGATGAGAACTTGGCTTTCTTCATGAAAATGGCGTTTCTTTCTTAAGCTTTGTCTTGTACCTATCAACGAGCACCCGCGTTTAATAATTCATTGTGAATTTTTTTAGTTTTCGTTTACTCGTGTGTTTCCACACTTGGGACTGTTCCTTACGCAATTTTTATCTATTCTTTTTTTTGAAGGAGTAAACGCCAGAAGACAGGAAAGTCAGGAAAACACAAGAAGATCAAAAGGATTCGAGGAGGAATGATGAAGACAAAAGTTAAGAATGGCATTTGAGAATTTGGATAAATTGATATCTTTCCGATAAGAAATGGTAGTTTTGCAACTAGAGAAGATATATTCGAGTTCAAAATTTCATAGTCTAACTGTATCAGTTTGGTTGTTAAAAGTTCTTGTTTGCTCGACTGAAATATTTGCATTCGAGTGACTTTCGGGCGCGGAAAAAATTTCAATTCGGTAGTGAATGTTAACTATTTCAGCCATTTTTCCCAGAAGGTTTTCAACTGCTTTCGAATTATCATTTAGTACATGCTTTCAACTTGTAGGCAGTTTTATTTCTTTGACCGAGCGATCATCCACTTGATTAAATCAAATTTTATCGGTCCGCAATTCTATGCTTTACTATATTTGTCTTCTCAAAGTCGAGTAGATTTTCTTTTTTCTTCTTCTCAAAATTCCAAATTGTTACACAATTGCTCAACTCTCCCAAGTTTGAAAACATGTTACTAAGCGATGACATTTGTCGGGTATTTAAGGTGGCGCTAAATGTTGAAATCAAACCGTGATAGCAACTGGCCTTTTGTAACTATTGGTTACTGTGATCATGTCAATCATAACAAATTCTATGAAAATAATGATTGGGCAAACAAAAATGCCCTTCCTCAAAAACGATATTAAATGACTGGTCGTAGAAAATTGTCTCAGTTTGGAGGCTGATCGTACTCGGTTTAGCTATCAAACGTTTTATGTCATTGAAATTCATTTATGAAATTAAAATTTTCGTGATCGATTCTTCGATTTGTAGTCAAATATACGAGAATATTTCTCACAAAGTTAAGGCCACCGAACTTCTACAAAAGGAATAGATTGTAACTTATTTGAGATATGAATTGTGAGTATTAAAATAGCAACCTTCCTGCTCAAAATTTAGTAATAATCTAATTCGTCTGACAATTCTGCAGCTTGAAGTTAATTAAAAGTGCTCAGTTCAACTATCAAACAATTGCTATCATTTCCTCTGCTTCTGCGTCAACTGAAATTTTGAAACGCTTTAAAATGTTTCCAGAAAGAGGAATCGTTA